GCTTAGTGCAGTGATGGAGTGTGCAGATGCTGCTCATGGCCTCAAAGGCCACATCATTTCAGTAAGGTCCAAGGGGAGAGCAGGGTATGAGGCTGCCAAACATCTGGGTTTTCTACTGGGTATGGAAGCTCTGATAGAGGTGGATCAGGACTCCTGGGTTCCTGTCAGCTTTGAGGTGGACTGTTGGGACACTGCTGAGAGGGCTTGGGAAATCCATGCTGTTTCTTCATGTTGCTTCTTACTTTGCAGGATGGAGGCTGCAGCTCTCCTGGGGATGTGGCCAAGGCTTTCGGTAAGGACACTGGGAGGGCACAGGAGGAGGATCCTATAGAAGAGTATGCATCACCTTTGAGGGTCTAGGATCAGGCTAAGGCTGAGGAAGCCATTCAGGTTCTTTCATAATATGCACTCATGGCCCTGAAGCCTGTGGTGGTGTCATCTGGGCGAGCCAGCTGAAACTCTGATATGGACTCTCCCAAGTGTGGGCCAGGACCATCTGCACCAGCCCCTGGGCTGTTGGGCAATGTAAATGCCCCTCAGAGTTACAAAATCCAGCTCTGGAGAGTGGGCTGCAGATCTGCATTTTTTACAGCTTCCCAGGTGATCCTTGCTCACACTACAGTTAGAGACCTTTGCTCTTGGAATACTTGAAGTGAGTCTTGTTCAACTGGGAAAAGTAAAGAGAAAGACAGCAAAAGCAGCAAAAAGAGAGAGCAAAGCCAGGCAGGGAATCTCTAGTGGCTTTAGAATTTTGTGTGAGTTGCTTCTGAGGGTGGTTGGGCACGTGAACATCTGGGCTAGATTCATCTCTTTTCCTCTCATTGATAGGGGCAGGGGCTGACTTTGTGATGCTGGGTGGCATGCTGGCTGGGCACAGTGAGTCAGGTGGTGAGCTCGTCGAGAGGGATGGCAAAAAATACAAGCTCTTCTATGGAATGAGTTCTGAAACAGCCATGAAGAAGTATGCCGGGGGCGTTGCTGAGTACAGGTACGTGTAGAGGCCCAGGAGCTGAGGGTTCTTGGAAGGTGTGGCTAAGTAGGGTGGTGGCAGAACTCAGGGCTGCTGAGAGATGGATGGTATAGTTCTTGGGAGAAAAGTGGCGAACCAGGGCTTAATGCAATGGACTGGGGAAGAGTCATTTGGCTTAAGGAATCCAGAAGGAAAAAGAAAATTTTTCCTCCTTTAAGGGCCTCAGAGGGAAAGACGGTGGAGGTGCCCTTCAAAGGGGATGTGGAACATACCATCCGAGACATACTTGGAGGCATCCGTTCCACATGTACGTACGTAGGAGCAGCTAAGCTGAAGGAGCTGAGTCGGAGAACTACCTTCATCCGTGTCACCCAGCAGGTGAATCCAAGCTTCAGTGTTGTGAGCTAGGTCTGAGCAGTTCTGCCCTCCCAAGGCACCAGCATCAAACTACAGGGCCTCCCATGTGGGCCCCTCACCCATCCCAGCTGCTGTGACTGTTATGTGATCATCTCACTCCTGAGAGTTCCTGCAATAATGTGTCTATCTGCATCCACAAAACGCACTTGCTAGGGAGGAAGCAAGGAAGGCAGGCTGAGAAAATGAAGTTGATAATCAAATGGGAATCTGGAGACTCAGCTTCTGAAGATTATTAAAAGAAAAAGATAGTGATTCATACAGTACATAAATGTTTTAGATATGGCCATGGTCTTAAGAGGTAGGCTTTTAGAATCATGCTTTGCTAATCAGCTTCATTAAATGCAATCTTTGAGTATCTAAAAAGCTCTTAAGTGTTTATATTTTTTAAGTGTCTCTATAAAGAGAGATCCCAGTGACTGTAAAGGGATTCTGGGGCTTTCTACACAAGCCTGGCATCTGGGTGCTGGCTCCAGGAAAGTGGAGGTGGAGATGGCACTGACCCAGTGGAGTCGAGGACAGTAAGTACTTTTTTCTATGAAGCATCTCCATTCAAGTGCTAACCCCCTAGATAACCTGGCAGCATGAAAATTTACAGAGTATATATTCTGGCATCAGGACACACAGATATTTTCAGAATAGCAAAAGGAAATTTCTCATCCAGGCTCTCAGCCCTGGTAATCTCTCTGATACACCTGAACAACACTTTCCAAGGGAAGTAAAGGAGCAAAGGGATTCTTTTAGCCTGGAGAGGCCAGTTATGTTTCTAAGGAATGATTTACACTAACCTTATAGAAGCCTTAATTCCCCTCCCTCACAGCAACACAGTGTTTTAACAAACAGAAAGTTTAATGATCAAGCGTTACAAAGTAATTTGGGCCATATAGTCAAGCAACCCAAGCCTGGGCTTCCACTTTATCCCCACTAAACTGCCTGCAGAGGTGAGGAGGAAGGGGACAGGCAAGATGCAGATGGCATTCTGGTCCTATCGGAGGAGTCTATATGGTCATGGGAAGGGGCAGAGACAGCACTGGGACTAGAAGAGGGGAGATATTCACAGAAGGTGGGGATTAGGGTGTCAAACTTTGTCTTCTCATAGTTTTCCAGAGACAACTGCAGAGAAAGGAGCAGGGAGATCCTGTCACCTGAAACATTCCCTGAGCCCTCCGTATTCAGGGAGCATGGGTTTCTGTCTTGTTCTGCCCCATCTCCTTCTTTCCCCAGCTTTCTGTTCCTCCCTACTCACCATTCCTCCCCTCTGGCCATTTTCTTCCTCATCAGAGTCCAAAACCAAGTCCCCTATGGTAATGACAGGGCTGCACAACGATGGAGGACACACTGCAAGAGGGAAACGAGAATCAAAGTACTCCTCTAGGTGAATACAGGCCCTCAAGCGTCCCAAGAGAGGAGGCTGTCTGATCCAGTCCTGACTCAGTATACCTACCTGGCTTCCTGGCCCTAGGAGGTGATAATGACAGTCTCAGGGGCTCCATGGGGCAGTCCCAGCAATTCCTGGGGTGGGAACAAGCAAAGAAGAGAGAATGGAGGGAAAGCAGGCAAGGCATGTGCTGTCAGTAGGCAGAAGCAACTGTTCCACTCACTCCTTTTGCTCCGAGGCTGACAAGTCAACTGGGTTCTCCTTCACAGTCCCTCCGCCCAGGGTCTGGGATGGACTCCTAGACTTTTCAGTGGAGGCTGTTCTCGCGCTGACGTCACCTGCTGGAACTGCCATGTGTATCTCTTGTTCTTTCCTGTTCTCAGGTTTAGATATGACCTGGGTTGGTGAACCCAGATTCCTAAAGGGGAATAGCATGACTGTGGGGCGCTCCTTATGGCCTACCCTACTGGATGCCCACTGGGACTGGGTTCTTCGCTGGCCTAGAGGGGCCAGATTGAAGTGGTGGCCAGCCAAAGGTTCTGGGTGCTTTCTTGAGGCTGGTCCCTGAGGAAGGTGTGGGCCGGAGTTGCTTTTTGGCACAGGTTGATGGAGTGCTGGTCTTGGTTGCTGAGGAGGACTGGGCTCCATGGGCTCTGACATGTTCACTGAATTAGTAACAGAGCACTCTAGAAAGAAAAGAATGTTCCTTATAAAGAGAAGAGACAGTAACACATAAACTCAGTCTGGTTTCCTGGGTCTTAAGCCAATGTAATCCTTCCAAGGGGCTGGCTGTCTCAAAAGGCCTCAGCCTACATATTCCACCCCCAAATTCCTAATTTTTTCCAAATGGCCCTGTTACCTGGAAGTGGCCACCCCATGTCCACACTATATTGGCTCAAAGCAAAAGAAGAAGTGATAGAAATTCCAGGCTGCATCCAACTCAGCACATCCTGAAGCTGTGGGCAGGGAGAGAGCATGAAGACCACAGACCTTGGTCCAACCACCCCGCCCTCCGCCCTCTGTTTAAGCCTAGGAAAACCTGCTGTGTCTGTGGGGTAGGCAGTGCTTTTTCCAGCCGACACAAGTATTCAAAAAATAGCTTTTCCATAGCAGCCAGAAAGGGTTCCCCATACTCTTGTTCAAGTTCCTGCAGACAGAAAAAAGCAGGTCAGGAGGGGACTAGAAAAGAAAGCCATATCATAGCTTCCAAATTCGCTAGTCTCACCTGCAACTTCCAAGCCAAATCCACAGGGGCCTCTGCCAGCAAATTCACCTGCTGGCAAAAGGCTTCCCGTGCCTCTGAGATCTTCTTCAGATCCTGCTCTGTCTGTTGAAGGTAAAGCGGGCAGACAAATTAGGGGCACCGAGGATTCACTGTGGGTGGGCACGGTTCCAGGGATTACTTACAGCTTTGGGGTCCCGCACTACAGGTCCAGACTCTGGAAAGTGGTGATGCAAGACATTCAGAACCTGGGCCCAAGGCCGGCCCTGGAGGATCAGCTCCACCACCACCTGTGAATGGGACTGAGCTCAGAATTCCCACTTCGGGGCCAGCTCCCCTTTTGCAACAGCTCCCAACCCCCAAGCGGTCTGTCCTAGTCTGATCCTTGCGTCCCGCCCCTTCCCCTCTTCCTGTTCTCGGTCCCACTGGCTCCGGTACCTTGGCCTTCAGGCCCATACACAGGCGCTCGTGGTGGCGGTAGCGAACCAAGCCAGGAGCAGCGGCGCGCAGACACCGCAGGAACTCCAACACTCGTGGGAAATGTTCCACGCGGCGTCGGC